ATATTCCTAAGCCTGAATATAAATCTCATTTTTGTGAGCTTGTTGGTAAGTCAGGATTCATGACTACTTTCACAAGTGATTCGAGAAAGGTAACTAGAGGGGCAAAGGTGATGGCTCGGGGCAACATTGAAGATACTTTTTACTTGATTAATGAAATGACAAATTTCATTGATGTGGTTGAAATCAAGGTAAATGCATATTTGTGACACTGTAGGCTTAGGCATATAATCAAGAATTGTATAAAGTCCATACTTTCAAAGGATAAACTTCATGGTATGAAATCAATCGATTTGGATTTCTGTGAAGATGGTATAAATGATAAGCAGAAGGAAGTTTCTTCTCTAAAAGTGGTCAGTGGTGAAGTCAAAGAAACTAAAATTAGTGCATATTGAGGTATAAGGTCATACTCCAGTTTAGTACATTGGATGATCCCACTAATTTGTCACATTTATTGATGATCACACAAGAAAGGTTCGGCTTTACTTTTAATGACAAAAAATTGACATATTTGAAGTGTTTAAGAAGTGAACGACTATTATAGAAAATGAGATATGCTTGAAGATAAAGTGTCTCAATTCAATCATTTGAGATGAGTATCGTGATCAGAAATTTAAAAATTTATGTGCTACAAAGTGGACCAAAAATGAGTTCACTATCCCAAGGACATCTCAACATAATTTTGAGGTTGAGCGCATGAAAGGAACAATCACAAAGTGCGTCGGGAACATGAGGCTACATGTAGGCTTGCCAAAACAGTCTTTAGCTGAAGCAATGAATATTGATGTTTATCTCAGCAGTAAGGTAAAGCCACTCTGCACCCCCTTAAGTTGTTACTTTAAGCTATCTAACAAGCTATCACCTAAGTAAAAAAAGCACAAATGGGGAGAGCTCCACATGCTACAGGAGTTGGAAGTCTAGTGTATGCTATGATTTGTACCATACAATATATTGTATATGTAGTGGGAGTAATCAGCATGTATATGGGCAATCCAAGCAGACGTCATTGAGAGACTGTGAAGTGAATTCTCAGGTATTTGATGGGTATTTTCTCTTTCCTTTTCACCTTTTGCTTCATTCAGAATTTATCAAAGAAAACATTTATTAGCATCCGTGCTTTTAAGTTTTGGTGTCCAAAAGTCAATGTTCATTTTAAATTTGGAGGATTTACATACCTACCACTTAGTTCCTCGGTATTTACATATCTAACACCTAAACTTAAATTTTAATATATGATCTATTTAGACCTATATCATTTAATAATATATGGGTGTTTTGCATATGCACATGTTGATGCAGGGTTCAAGAGTAACCTTGACGCGAGATTAATCATGTGCACATTCATTAGATATGACTAAGATGAGTTTGGATATAAGTTTTGGGATTATAAAAATAAAAAATTAATCAGAAGCATGAATGTTATATTTATTAAAATGGAGATGAACAAGGATAGGTTTAGAACTCAGGATAGTCATCAGTTACATCTAAAGTGTCTATGTATGTTGAGATAGAAGACACTGGTGATTAAGACGGTGGAGAAAGAATAAGTGCTCAACAAAATGGAGCACATGAAATTTCTTAGTCACCTGTTCATAAGGTTGGGAGGTCCAATAGAGTGAAATGAATGGCCCAAAGGTATTCTCATTTTTTACACTAATTGATGCTAATAGATGGTGGTGAACCAGAGTGCCTTGATGAGGTCACTCAGGTTAAAGACTTAGGGGAGCAGGAGCTTGCCATGGATGAAAAAATGCAGTCTTTGGAGCCAAATCAGACCTAGAATTAGAAGGTATTACTAAATGACAAAAGATTACTACACAATATGTGGGTCTACAAGCTGAAAAAGGAGTTAGTTGGTACCCGACGCAACAATAAAATATTTATTGTGAATAATTTTCAATAGAACGAAGAAGTTACACAAATATTTTTCCTTAGCGCTGAAGATGACAACTGTCAGAGTTATGTTTAGTCTAGCAGAAGAGGAAGATCTACTTCTATAACGGTTAAATGAAAAAAATATCTTTTTCACATGGTGATCTGAAGATGGAATTATGTATGCTGCAACCCCAAGGTCACAAGTTTCCAGGGAATGAAGGTTTAATATGCAGGTTGTAGAAGAGTCTATATGACATGAAGTAGGCCCTAAGACAGTGATATAAGTGGTTTGACGAGTTCATGTCATACAATGGTACAAAAAGTATCTGAGAGACCATTATTCCATCATCAAACACTTCAATAATTACTATATCATACTTTTGTTGTATGTGGATGACTTATTGATTGCAGGGTCTCACATGCAAAAAATTATGACTTAAAGAAGCAATTATCAAGTGAGTTTAAGATGAAGGATTTAGGTCCAACTAGAAAAATTCTTAGGAAGAGAATCAACAAGAACGGAAGTGCAAGTATATTGAAATTATTTCAGCCATATTATGCTGAGAATATCCTATAAAGATCCAACGGGAGTGAGGTCAAGTCAGTCTGCACCCCCTTAAGAAGTCACTTTAAGCTATCTAACAAGCTATCATTTTTGTTTGAACCAAAGCAAGCGCAGATGGGGAGAACACCGCATCCTTTAGCAGTTGGAAGTCTAGTGCTATGATTTGTACCATACCATATATTGTATATGTAGTGGGAGTAGTCAGCAACTATATGAGCAATCCAGACTGACATCATTGAGAGGTTGTGAAGTGGATTCTCAGGTATTTGATAGAAACAATCAACATGTCACTTTTTATAGAAGTGTGGTTAACAATCTAGAAAGATTTGTAGAATTAGATCTGATAGGAGATTTCGATGGTGGAAGAAGTACATCATAGTATATTTTCACTTTGGGGAATATATCGATGAGTTGGGTTTTTAAGCTGTAGAATATTATTGTACTTTCAGTTCTTTAGGTCAAATGTATTGCTATCACTGAGGCTAATAAAGAGATGATTTGGTTACATGGCTTTATAGCTAAATTGAGCAAGGAGCAAGCAATTGGAAAGCATCATAGTGATACTATGAGTCTAATTCATCTTGCTAAGAACACTGCTTTTCATGTAGGACAAAGCCCATACAACTGAGGTATCATTTTATACACTTTCTCCTAGAAGATGGACAATTGCTCTTGGAAAAGATACACACAGCTCAGAATCATGAAGACATGTTGACAAGAGTGGTGATTATCGAGAAGCTGGAGCTATGCTTGACTTCAGATGAAATTCGTGAAGGTTAAGGTTAAGATTGGGGGTAAATCACACCACGGTATGTGACAATAAATATGGTATAAATAGAAGTATGGATCTAGTGAACATGTGTTGGGTGTTATCATTCTCCAGTTTGGAGATTATTGAGGTGTAAAGTTTGAAGCACCCACTCACGAAAGTCCACAACACACAACAACAGAAGATTTTTGGGCATATCAGACTCACGACTGCAAACTACTATGAAGGCTATTAAAACATTAATCAAGTACTTCTCAAACTACCAAAGTGTGGAAGCAAGGGACACAATAAACATTAACAGTACTTCTCAAATAAAGGCTTAAGTTTTAGAAATTTTACATGCCATAGAGTACTTCTTTTGCATATGCCACAATAAATCTTGTAGTTGTTCTAAGAGCAAATAAATTTTAAGAGCAATTCTAATAAAACATCTGACAGGGAAAAACAAATTTAAGGAAACATGATCCTTATAATTGCATGCAAAATCTTCAAAAAAAATTAAGTGCAATATAAATCCTTCAGCAACAAACGAAAAAAAAACACAACAATCAATATACAAACATCTTATTCACATAAACAAACACATAATTTCAATCCCTGAATTGCAGTTTTTAATCATTCAATTGTGTCGTTAACCAAAAAATTACTAAACTAAAACAATTCAAAAATGAATCCCTGCAACTTACAGAATTCAAATTAAACAAAAAAAAACCCGAGCAAATCTAAATTAAATGCAAAGGATTCAAAGCCCCCATTCTAGTTCCTGCTCCTTTTCTAATGCACTATTACCAACGATCCAATTATAAAATCTTTAAAACAGGAAACACCTCCAGATGAAATATCAATTCGACATTCATAAATAAAGGAAAATAAATCCAAAAATAAGATACAAAATGCATTTCTCGTCATCTACGCAATCGAAAGGTTTCCACACCGTAGAATATCACAGACAACCGATTATAAAAGATAATAATAACTGTGAAGATCTGAGTAAAGAAATATGAGAAAATTGCAGAGGGATCCTAAAATCTAACCTAGAAGTTCGGGAGTCAATAGCAATACAAGATTGAATTGAACATCAATCCACACTCTTCCTTAGTCGCCGACACCAAGATCTGCCGCTCTACTCCGAATGGGAAAGCCCGACCAAGCACGGAAAACATGACGACAAAGCTAAGAATTACGGGAAATCAGTTGAGAACTACATCTGTTTTCTATTCTTGCATCCAAACGAAATCAATCCAGGCAGGCGAGGCGAATCACAGGAGGGTAGTATTGGGATCGGGAGACAGAAACGCGGGACGCGGGGTCATATCCAAGTTCGGCGTCTAATACAATTTAAAACGTCTTTTCCTGAAACTCACGCAAAATGCTTGAAACAAACACGAGGTTTTTAAAACGCACAAGCGACAAATAAACTGTTCCAAACACACCCTTACATGCGTAGCACAAAAATTTTATGTTTTTGCATATCTCGAATTAAAACTTTCTCGAATTAAAACTTTCAACTTTCATTTTTATAGGCAAAACATCTAATTCTTTTCTATCAAATCACATCTAATGCTTTAATGCTGAAATTCACTTTTTCATATATAAATAAAGATGCTTTGACTGTAAATACGAAAATTTTGATCTGAGAGACGGTAAACACATAAGAATTGAGCGCTAAGCAAGTAAATCTCCGTTATTTAAAATGTATCTCGTGGAGATGCAACGAGTGACTGATGCCGCAGTAGTCACAGTCAACATTATTAACTCATAATAAACCTACATCCCATGATTCACTCTAATTACGTTCCCCTTTCGTATGAATTATCTGAACGGAGAAGCATCTTGATCACCTTCTCCAAGTTGACCGAAGAACTTCCTAGCCGACTAACTGCATTAGCTGCACTCTCTTTCCACTCCACCGCCTTCGCTCTCATCTTCCTGCCCTTCTCCCCCACCATCATCTCCCTTATCATTCCCTCAACATCCCCCCTTCTCACGTTTTTGTCAATCTCCATCCCCACACCCCAATCAGTGCATGAATAAAAACAATTGGTTTGCTGCTCCGCGAAGAACGGCCAAGATATCATCGGCACTCCACAGCTTAAGCTATCCAACGTCGAATTCCATCCCGAGTGTGTTAAGAAGATGCCCACCGCCGGGTGGCAAAGCAGCTCCTCCTGCGCGCACCAGTTTGTCATCAGCCCTCTCTCCTTAATCTCTTCCATGAACTCTGGAGGCAGCACGACTGATTCTCTCTTCAATTGGTCGGCCCTGATCACCCATAGAAAGTGATAGCCGCTATTGGCGAGGCCCCAAGCGAACTCTACCATCTGTTCGTTTGTCATCACAGTTATGCTTCCGAAGTTGACGTACACAACAGACTGAGGTGCCTTGGCGTCAAGCCAGTCCATGAATGTTGTCTGAATGTTGTCTCCTCTCCTCCTTCCATAGGCTTGTGGTGATGGAAGTGAGAGGGCTGTGGCTTGGTATCATGCGTCGACAGAGGAGGGATAGTGGGCCGATGGTGTAGACGGGCGAGAGGATCTTCTGCAGTGCGGTGAGGGCCGGAATCTCAAGGTCGTTAAAAGTGTTAAGCACGATTGCTGAGGCCATGGAAGCTCTTCTTGTCTCGTGCAGTATGTAGTTGAACATTTTGTCGTTTTGATCCGTCACACGAATGAAGGAGGGTAGGTCCTTCAGACGTATGCCTTTTCGTAGTCCTGGGATCCAATCTACTTCAGTGTCGAGGAATCCGTTGCTTAAGTCGGCCTCATCTACATGTGACAGCATAATAAGATTAGTAACGAGACAAGTTAAAAGGGAGAGGAAAAACACTTAACATTACTCGGAGGAGCACAATTGAGCTAAAAATATTTAAGATGTTAAAATGTTTAAATGAAACTTGAAAGTCAGTTAAGATATTGTGAATAAAATTTGATTTATTTTTAAAATTTAATCTTATTTTTCAATTTAATTTTTATAAAACATTTAGTTATAAAGAAATATTAATAACATTTTTTAGAAAGATTTACATACATATTACTCAATTCTTAAATATTTATGCATGTAGCATTTGAACCAACGGATTCTACTTATCTTTGATGAATCAAAATAAATTAATTATGTCAATCCAAATTTTGTGAGTGAATCTAGGTCTAATCTGAAATTGATCTAAATTCTATTCAAATATATAAAAAAAAATATAGAAATTAGGATTCAATTCAATTCTTCTTCGACCAATTAACCAAAATTGACCCACTTAACCTCTATTTTATGTATGCATAAAAATTATTCGGGTCAAGTTTGTTTCAAATTCTAATTAGTTCAAATTCATGGGTCAAATTTAAGTTAATTTCGGATTGGTGGATTAATTTATTTTCAATTTCAAACTTGTGAGTCAGCCCATACCTGACTCTTAAAATGTAAATGTGTTGGGATTTTCTAGCCAAATATGACCTAAATAAACCAATCAATTCGAGCTTCAATTTTTGAGTTGGCTTAGAGTCTAGTATCACATGAATCGGAGTTAGGCTGTAATTTGCATTTACATTAAATAAGATTTATCAGATCTATTAAGTCATAAATTTGTGTGGCGGAGTTTCAACTGGTGAGCGATGGTGAAATAAAGCTTTAATTCGCCGCCCAATCGAATTTATTGAATGTAGATTTATGTCATAAAAGAGAAAAAAGAGATAGAATGCCACAAAGTTTGATATAAGTAAATGTTGGATTTAACTTTTATTTTTTTTGATATTTGGCTTGATTTAAGTCAAATCAAGACTAAATCCTATTAAAAATATGTCACCTAGAAAACAAAAATTCAATGTTGTTTCTGTATCACAACGGGCAAATTATGAGTCTCTCCGTAAATAAATATTTTGAAGTAGATTAATTGCAAGAAAGAACATCCAATCAGAAAGATATTAATAGGACAATTAGGGAGCATGGAAAAATTTAATGTAGTTTCTTTATCACAGCTGGCAAATTATATGTCTCTGTGTATATAAATATTTTGAAGTAGATTAGTTGCAAGAAAGGACATCCTCTCATAATATAGAAAGATATTAATAGGGCAAATCCTTTTATTTTTCTCCTCGAGCTTCTAGAGAAACCATATTTAAAGCATAATATCTCTCACGAGTCATTCCGTATTTATTTATCTTTGTGTTACATATAAAAAAAATAAAATGTTAATCTCCAGATCTACCGCGAAAAATAATTCAACACTAAAAAATAATAATACTTGTAGTAATGAGACAAATGCTAGCTAGAGGATGAAAATGATAAATTTGAGATTAAAAATCATCAAATAATATTGTTTTAGAATTGAGCCGGCCGATTTAAAATAATCAAAATTGCCGAAAGTATCATATTTTATAAAAAAGTTGATCAAGATGTCTATAAATTTTGGTTTTGACAGGCCAATGTATGTAAAAACAAAAAACCAAATTTGTGGATCACAATTCACCCAAAGCTTCAACCACGTTACCTTTGAGAGGAAAGAGGCCGCGCTCTACAAGCTGGTGGAAATGAAGGTAAGCAAGGTAGCCGCAAGCACTGGTGGTCCATAAAAGTATCTCGGGGATGCCAAGCTCGCGTGCTGCGTCAAGAGTAAAACTCATGGAGCCGTCCGAGACGATGCATGAGACGGGTGGCGCACCGGAGGAAGTCTCTTCATTAAGCTTGTCAAGGAGACTTAGGAATGGGCCCAGACAGGTCTTCATTGTGGATTCGCTGAGTTCGGGGATGTTCTGCGTAGCTTCCTCGTCGGATATTGGGAGGCCGTCGGGGATGGAGGCAAAACGGAAGTCGGGAAGTCCATTAATAATCTCTGGGCCTTGGGAATGAGCCAGCCGGCGGTGGTTGAATTCGGTGAGGACGAAGGTGATGTGGAAGCCTCGGGTGTGGAGGACTTTGGCTAGTTTTAGCATGGGGTTTATGTGGCCTTGGGCCGGGTATGGGATGCAGACTGCATGGGGCTCTTTCCCTCGATCACCTTGTAGAAAGCTAGCTCCTCGGTCTTTTGGTACTGGGACTTGGTGTTCTTAGTTCTGCTGGGGATGGGTGATGGCTGACTGCCTCTATAGATGAGGAATTATTATTATATATTCTTTAATTTATTGCGTTTAGACCGTTCATTGTTGGCCAAGGACTCGAGCTTAATTTGTATATTAAATTATTGTCATGCAATCCGGATGTGAATTCTTAATAATTTTTTTCTCTGTTTGTCCACACTGCAACTACGAAGAGCGATGAATGGAGTCATGCTCTATACATGTGAGTTTGTGATAATAATTTTTTCCGCAGCAAGCTGGTATGAATTAAATCTTGTTCGATTAGACTTAACATTAAGTCACTCATTATTAACCTTAATGTTTGCTAGAAAATTGACGACAGTAGAGTAATGATTATTCATCATCTTGGTATTGCATGAAAAATCACTACACACTCAAGTAATTAAAGAGAGGTACACATAAGAGGCACCTCAATTTTTTTAAGTTTAAACCTTTTAAAGAAGAAAAAACCACGAGACATAACTTAATTGAAATAATCTACTGTGAATAGTGAGTATACAGGTCTAGGGGTGTAAACGAGCCGAACACAAGCTGAGCATGCTCGTTTATATTTCGAGCTCAAAAAGTGTGTTCGTGCTCAACTTGTTTGCTTAACAAACTGAACATGAGCTGTTCACAAACAAAAAGTCTTTTTAACAATACTAATCATGTAGCCATAAGACAAAAATGGTTTGAGCAAGATTTAAAAATTATTACTTATATTGAAGCATCATTTGAATCTAATTTAATAATTTTTATTATATTTTCTTAATCAATATTTTAATTGATTATAAATCTTTGAAACCTTGCAGTCAATTAGATTTTTTAAAAATACTACTTAATATATATATATATATATATATATATATGTGTGTGTGTGTGTGTGTGTGTGTGTGGGGT